CTTGGACGAACCCTGCTTGGAGTCCCGGGGGGACAGGGAGCGCCCGCCGGGCTTGCCTCCGGCCGCCGAGGAGTCGCCAGGGGCGCTCGGAATGAAGTTCTCCCCGTTGCTGGAAAACCCATTGGGGGGCTTGGAATCATTGACGTGAGGGATGGGAATAGGGATGGGGATGGGCACGGGCAGGGGCACGATCACGGGGTATGGCACGAGCAAGGTGGGGGGTGGCACCAGCGGGGCCAGCGACGGCAGCCCGAAATTCATCATCTGGGGCACGGGCATCGGGCCGTTTGGCATCATGCTGACCGGCGGGAAGGGGAGACTGGGCAAGGCGACAGCATGGGCCGATGCATGGGACTGGAAGTGGGGCCCAGGTTCCTGGGGCCGCCGGGCGGGGGCCCGATGCCGGGGAGCATGGGGTTGGACAGAGGGCTGTTGGGGTTGGAGGCGTGGTGCGGCGGCCCGCGAATGAAGGGCGGGCGGATCTGCTGCATGATCTGCTGTTCCATGAAGATGGGCAGCGGCACCGGGCCGCGGTTGGTCATCACCATGGGAGGGCTGCGGGGCGGGACGCCCAGGGGAGGCCCGATGCTAGCAGGTGGCTGGACGGAGACAGGAGGGAGGTTGGCAGTCTCGCTGATGGGCAGGGACTTGGGCACTGGCGTGGGGATCTTAGTGACGGAGCAGTTGGCAGCGTCAGATGGAGAGACGGTGGTGGATGCGGATGGGCCAGGGCCCTGGCTTTGGCCAGCTGCAGCCACCGGGGAGGGGGCCTTCCTCCGAGCATCTGTTAGAGGAATATTCCAAGAGTCTGGCGTGAGCAGCTGCACGCCGGCGCCTTCTGCTTTATTTTCCAGGGGAGGGTGTAATGCGCTGCACAGCCCAGCTGGAAGGTTGGCCTGTGTCTCTTTGTAGAAAATGTCCATTTTGTACTGATTGAGACATTTTGCACTGCAGAACTGAAGCCTTCTCTCCCCGTCCCCAAAATCCAGATATTCTTTTGTGTGTCTGATGTGCTTACACCAGTCACATACCTACAACACAGTAATAAAAAGAGAGAGTAAGATACGCAATGCCCTCTGCTAGACGGCGTTTCAGGTTTCCCCGTACAGGTTCTTTCAAACGTTATCCCAATTTTTCAAACAGGCTGAAAGGGTTTCCTTCCAAAAGGGAAAATTCTCAAAAACTTTGTAAAGTGATTTCTCCCTGGAAGCCAGAATTGCTTTATTAATATTAACTCTTCAGAATAGCAATTATCACCATATCCCATTTAAAAAAAAATAGTGTTTTTCCCTTTAAGGTGGATCTGACAAAAAGGAATACATATACCTGCCCACACATTTTCACTTGTCAAAGACGATCATTGTAAATGCAAATTTAATAGTTTTGGAGAGAAGCATTCTCCAGAACGTTCCGTGGGCTTTGAAATATATAGTCCCTTAACATTCTGCTCATGCAAAGTCACTTTGCACTATTGACTGTTCGATAATGCAGTTGGAAAGGGGGTGCTGTGTTAACCAATAACACAAAGCGCCCAGCATCATTATGTCTGCCTTCCAAGGGGAAACTTGGAATTAGTCATGAAGTCTGTGTGAGGTTTAGCTCTTCCCAACCTGTGATGTTGCAGCAAGCTAGAATTATTTTTTGAGCTGTTTGCCCACTCTCTCTCAGTAGTCAGAATTTTTGGTGACATTTCTTGGCATGCAATCTTATTTAACAACTTTTCAAACACCAGAGAACGTTTTCCAAAGTTGTTATGGCTTTTTCCCCTCTTCAAATCTACTCCTGGCAAAAGAAAGGCATCGCCAAATTTATTTTAAAGTTGGGCTGCAGAACTAATTAAAGGCTGAGAGCTTTTCCCAATTGGAAATCACTAGACATCAAAGTTCAAAAAATAGTCATTCTCGGCTTCAGAACCCATTACTTTGGAGAAATTATTGTGATTTCATTAACACATTAATTTTGCAACACCATCAGCTCTCACAGATGGCGAAGGCATGATCTACAATTCAAATATGACTCTTGTTTGCACAAATGTCTTCCCTTCATATGGCATTTTAAACAAGAATTAATATGAGTAATCTTGCCATAGCTATAAACAGATAAACAGATGTCAAAATTTTCAATAGTTCTTTCAGTGCCTTACTTTTTTGACTGAACATTACACACACAATTTTTTTTCTTGTTCTTTATTTTTTAAATTATTTTCTGAGCACCCAGTCAATCCACACACTAGCAGCAGAATTCTGAAATGCAGTCCAATGGTGAGTCCATTGAATTGAGTCTCTCCTCACTAAAGCCCTGGTTCCAATTTTGTTCTAAATCGGACCCTGCTTTTGTTGAGGAAGATCTCTGTTGTTCCCTGTTGTTGTGGTTTTAACTATGATAAATTAATAGCATTAAAAGATAATAAATTTCAGTAATGATTGGTCACGTCAGCAATGCAAAACAACATATGCTGAGCATTTGATTACTCATCTCATTTAACTCTCAGCTTTCCTTGACTGTAAATAGTGGCGGCATGCTAGTGTGTGATTGTGGGTGCACACACTCATGGCAGATGTGGGCATGTAAGTGGAAATTCACTCTTTTTCTTCTTACTCCCCTCTCCCCCACTGATATTTGCAGGTAACATACTTCACGGTGTGAGGTTGAATAAGAAATACTTATTGGCACACAGTAGTTTTTTTGTTTGGCCTTATATCAAGTCACTCTTTCAGAATACTTGTTGCCAAAAACAAATGATTTCAATGTTAATATACTCCTATGTCTCACTACAGTGTTTCAGTTTTCTCCACAATTAAGGGAACTTTTTAAAAAATCATAGTTGAGATGTCTAGTTTACACATAAATACAGAATTGCCTCTGATGAGAAGACACACAGAATCCGGCAGACTCTCAAAATTATCATCTAGGGGATTAAATAAGGTATAGTGAAAACTTTACACATGGAAGTTATTATTTTTAAGATCTGATATTTTTATAAAGTTAATGTATAACTATATGACATTTAAATTCTAATTTGAAATAAAGCCAATTTTAGGCATCCATCAAAAGCCTAAAATGCCAATTTATAAGCTTGAAGTGAAGGATCAAATATGACTTCTTTAATCATGACTAAAAAATATCATCAATGAATTAAACTAATTAAAATTATATGCCAAAATTTCTGGCATATTTCTTTTGGATCTTCTTTTTTAACCATAAGGGGAAAGAAAAAAAAATTGCCAGATTGGATTATTTGCCTGCAGAGGATTCCTCTGTTTCCTCAAGCTAAATAAATATTTTCAAGTGGAGTCACAGAAAATAATCTAAATATAACTTAAATGTTCTCCCATCATTTCCTTTACTTTCAATAATTCATTGATGAGTAAAAATTGCTCATACATCTACCTCAATTATCAAATAGGTAGTCTCCACTATAACAAGATTTACAGACATCAAATTTCCAAGCAAAATTCTGTTTCATCAAACTTTCCAGTTAATGAAAAGGTCTAATACTTAGCTGCTTGATTTTCTGCAACATCACAAATTATTTAGGCCATAGTGTGACAGTTTATGACTATCTTGTTTTGGGTAATGTGAGTGTGAATGTGTGCGTATCCTTATTACATTTCCATTCAGAACACTGATCTAAAAATGCAGAAAAGCCATCTTTCTAGGAAGCAAAAAATTATTAGAGAAAAAACTTGTCACTTAAGAAATAATGAATCAAGTCTGTCTAATAGGACACATCATTTAAGATGAGGTCAATGAATTTATGGCACAAATGGCTATATCATGTGAGGCAATAAAACACAGTACCATCATTCATTCGACATCTAACTAATGGCACACTTCTAGTAATTAAAGATTTCATCGTAAGAGCCTGAGCTGATTACTTAAGATGTGGTAGTTAGGTAGAAATACATACTGTAGATCTCTTTCTTTAATAAAACAACATTTGCATATCCATGGAATACACAGCATGTGTCTCAAGAACTAGGGTTGTCTGAATTGTGGTGTTATGAGGTATCCTTCCCTCTTTTTCCACAGACGGTTGTTGTTTTTTTTTCAAAACGTTGTAAGGCATTTTTTCCTCATTATGTCAAGAAGTACCAAAAATCTTTCAGATATTTTAAGAGATAAAGATTAAGAAGTGCAGAGCTCTACTCCCTGGGCTCTGGGATGGTTTCCGCTAATTCCACGCCGGCTTTGTTTCTGTTGGAATCTGGCCGCTTTGGTTCCACGCTCTCCCTAACAGGTCCCAGATTGGACAGAGCTGAGGCTGAAGCTGTTTAACGATGGCAATCTGGGGACCGAACAATCAGCTCATGCAAGGCCACTGAGCGAGACAGCTGAAATGCTTCGGATCACAGATACATAATGTATCACCAGGACGACAAAAAGATCACAAAGGAGATAAACAAATGGGTATTCCATTCAACCCCCTAACAGCAGTCCTCACAAAGATTACATTCACCTTCCTGGGATGTGTCCAATTCTAAACAACAGAATGAACGTTTCCTTTAGTCCATTTAGACTATTTATATTTTGGTGGCTGGCTGCCAGGGTAGTACTTATAAGCTCAGTGGCCTGATGGATTCACTCCTTTCCTGTGAAATAAATGTGTGGCAACCTACACCACTAAACTGCCCCAAAGACACCGCCTCAGCAGAAATATCACTTGCTCTCGATACAAGAAAACTGAAAGGCAGGACTTCTGGTTCCTATAACTCTTTCCATCTTGTATTTCCCCTGGAAAGAAAGAAAGCTATTCATGTTATTTTTATATACACGTCCGAAGTCAAAGCCAAAGTATGCCATAAGGTTACCCACATGGGCACAACATATACATTCTGCGGGGCTTGAGAGAAGATCTGGGTGGCTGGGGGAGGGGGCCAGGGTTCCTAATTAACACATTAATCAGCTGTCAGCTGTGAGAGTGAAGTTCATTCTTTAATGGAACCCACCACTGTCTTCTGAGTGGTAATCTGGCATCAGGCACTATTTCATTAAGAAACCCTTTTGCTGAAATCTTCCTTATCTAGGCAAAGACATTTTCAGCAATGGTACAGTAAAAAGACATTAATAATCCTTTGAATGCCATCAACAATTCCAAAAAACAAAACAACACCTTCACATGCTCCTGACTGCCCACAAATATAGGGCCCAGGTAACAGCTCAGAAGATGAAGCTCCTTAAGCAAAATTGTAACTGGCCATAAAATTCTGGTTCCAGACAGTCCAACCTATGAGGGAAGGTGGTGGGTGAGGGAGTAAGAGATCAACCAAAAGACTTGTATGCATACATATGAGCATAACCAATGGACACGGACAGTAGGGAGGTAAGGGCATGTGCTGGGGGGTGGGGAAGCTGGGGAGAGGTCAATGGGGGAAAGGGAGACTTATGTAATACTTTAAACAATAAAAAAATTTTTTTAAAGATGCTGGTTCCTTTGATCTTAGCCTGTTAAAGGTGGCATTGATCTTGCTCTCCAGGCCAGCTCAAAAAATCACGAGTTCACCCAAGGGTGAAACAAAGGAGGATGAAGAGACATTGCTGAGGGTGGTCAGTGCTTTAAAGGATTGGAGGTCTGCCCACAGCTGTCGTCACCTACATGGGTTGAGGGCCTCAGACTGACCCCACCTGAACACTTGCTTCGAGTTTGACTCTGGAGTCCCATGGTCCCACCATCAACTGTTCCCTTGCATTTAGACACCACCTCCATCAGGGCACTTGGGTTGCAAAGGATGCTATGGAAATCACATGCAATCTGGAATCAGAAGATGTGGAGTCCGGACTCCATTATTTATTTACTAGCAGTGAAATCTTATGGAAAGCTCAGCGTCAGTTGCTTCCTCTGTGAATGGAGCTAATAGAGGTAACAGATACCTCTTGTGTGTCAGGCATTTACAATATAGTGTGTTTGTTTCAGTCCTTAGCCTGTTCCCTCATGGTTGCTGATGTCCCAGGAACCTCCCCTATGTTTAAGTTCATTTTACCTTAACGGAAGGATGTGTCTATGGCAGTGTGAGGAGGAAAAGGCAAACCT